GTATCTGCAGCTCACCGGTAGTCTTTGATGTGATTATAGCTCCAGATGATGTCAGCCTCCTCCTCATCCTCGGTCAGCTGGAAGCGAGGGTGCGTCAGGTTGTTTGTTACTTGAGACATTTCGGAATAAACCCTGGAAACAGAAGCACACAATCAAGGAAAGATGTGGGAAATTCTATATGGAGAAGACAACTGTTAAGAAAAATGTGAAAAATAACAGACTGATGAATGAATGAACCAAAAAGCCCCAACTATAAGCCTGACTCATGCCTTTGGGTAAACTTTGGAATGAATAAGTGAAAAACGACACTGCTACAAGCAGAAGAAATCCATACATGGTGTCCACTGTGTTGTTATTAGTAGTACTATCTATAACTTGAAATCTGTTGCCTTCCTGAAACTTTATATGTCTGTCTGGGTTGCTTTGCCAGTTTAGCATGTTATTCTACTACATTTAATAAATAATAATAATAACACATTTTATTTATAGAGCGCTTTTCACAAACTCAAAGACACTTTACAAGTTAAAAATAAAAACAAAACAAATACAAGTATACAGAATAAGTCAACTAAAGAAAACAGAACAAACAAAAAAAAAACTAAGCACCTAAAAAACACCTTTAGCTGAGGCTGACTGGGGCGTCATTGGTTTTGAAGGCTCTGAAGCCAAAGTACTGAACAGATATAGCTCAGATCAACTGACACTTCAACCCCTGGAGACACTAAAGCATAACTGTTGTAGCCTTCCACTGAAGCAGCCTTCAGATCGACTCATCAGGAGCCTGTCCAACTAGACCAGCCTGTAGCTACCGTTCACCTGTTCGACACGTGACTGTGCAGAGCAGTGCTCACTAAGCAGCATTGTGATTGTAGGGAAGATGGCATCCGAGCTGAGTGAAGTGTCTGAAGTCAGAGTGGAGCTGGAGTAATCTGCAAGACTTCTACCAGATCTGAGAATGATTTAAGCTTTTTAGACTGACTCTTTGCGTAGTGTTTTTACACCCATCTGCCGAGAAGGACCACGACAATGTAACTGTGTCACGTGTCAGAGCTCAGGTTCATGCTGATAAACCCAGCTGATCATGCATGAACTACATAAAACCTCCATGACCTGTGTCTACATGTAGCTGTAGGAGTTAAGATGTTAACTAAGTCTGTGCACAATAGAAATGATTTTCTTCTCCTGTGTGCCTCTGTGCAAGGACAGGAGTGAGATAAGAAGGTTGATTTGTCTTCAGAGATGCTGTTTTGGTTCACAGCAGGATAATGTACAACTTTTAACTCTGACTGTCAGCTGTGTCAAAGATTTTGCTTTTTCTTCTCTCATTTAACTCATTTTATTAATTTGACTGAGTTTGTGAGTCCATCTGTAGATGCAGATTTAAACTTACAGACAAATACTTGACTCTTCCCTTTATTCAACAGAAATCACCTCCACAGTAACAAGATCAGGTCCAGTTGTGGAGGCAGAAAGACTGTAAGACCAATATAAGATTGATGAGGCAGTTCTCAGTTGTAAAGTGAGCCTCCCTGCAGCTGTGTTTACAAAAGTCTGCATTTGGAAAGGTTTTGTGTCCACAGAGATCAGCGATGGGATCAAATTAAAAGGCTGTACATGACATCGATCCTGCAAAAAGACAGTTCCAAGATGGCTAAAAGGTTTTTATGATAAAAAAAGATATATTTTTAAAAAATATGTGCTGACCATCAGCAAACCTACCGGTGGGAAAAGACAAGCCAAATATATCAACCTGACATTAAAAGCTGACTGTGTGATAAGAATCTGCCTCCACTAGAAATCCCCTCTGGGAGCGAGAAACAAAGAAAAAGGGGGGTGGGATGATACCCACTCATTTTGAGACATCTTCAGTCTTTCTAGAGGGCTCAGTTTGTGATAGTGTTCTGCTTTGCTGAATACTTGAATAAACTTACACTCTGTGCATTATATCCTTGGCCAAGGCTGATTTTTCTTAGCCATTGTGACCTATCCTATATGACCCTTTGCTAACACTTTTGTGTGATCCTAGACACCTTTGCATTAAAGCTGTCAAGAAGAATCTTCAACCACAGCACAGTGACAAAGGTTCTTGTTGGTTGGTTTAGACTCTCAAATAACATTTTCCTTGCAGTAGAGAGACTTACTTGAGGATTTTATCCTTGGGAACAGTGAAGTGTTGGACTTCCACAGGAAGCTGCTCCTTGTTTTCCCGTGCGATGTTCTGAAGAGATGGACAACAGGACAGTGAACACCCCACCGCATCTTTGATGAGTGAGGCTTTGTGTAGAAACTGTAATGTTTCAACCTAAATAGATTCATGCAGCCTGTTGTGGGATTTTTAAAATTGAACAAATGACAAAACTGGAGACATGATTAGGATGTTTAAATCTGATTTAAACTTAAACAAATAAAACCAGAAAATATGACGTGTAAACTGAATTCATGAACACACAAAACAATCCTGTGTAAACCTCAACCCAACCTCCAGAACACAGCAAGCCTGAAGCACAAGCTCTCTCTCTCTCTGCATTCATATGTGAGCTGAACTTAACGTCACCGTGGCCTTGCAGAGACGAGGAGAGACGGTGCCTGGGCTGGTGAAACATTCCAGCTGCTGTGAGGGGAAAGGAGAGCACCCCGGTTGTGAGTTTCAGATTACACGGCCAAGCACAAACTAATGCTGGCAAAGATTTTTTGACTGGGATCATAGAAAATGGATTGGGCTTTTCAGGGCTTTTCAGCAGTTGGAGGAGAGTTGGGAGAAGTTTGCCAAAGTACACAAGGAAATGTAACGCATTGTTAGTTAACATCTCCAGATTTTGTCCATGTTTGTTCTTACAGCCTCTGTATTGACTAAACGTTGCTGCCATCAGACTCTGAAGACGGTTTGAAGACTCAAATATTTAAACAAGAAGTGATTTTCTGTTGGGCTGCAAGGTGGGTGCAGTTGGTAGCACTGTTGCCTCGCAGCAAGAAGGTTGCCGGTTCACGTCCCGGTGGGGGCACCGGAATCTTTCTGCGTGGAGTCTCCATGTTCTCCCCGTGCAGCGTGGGTTCTCTCCAGGTTCTCCGGCTTCCTCCCACACAGTCCAAAAACATGCTGAGGTTAATTGGTGATTCTAAATTGTCTGTAGGTGTGAATGTGAGTGTGCTTGGTTGTCTGTCTCTAAGTGTGGCCCTGCGATGGACTGGCGACCTGTCCAGGGTGTCCCCTGCCTTCACCCTGAGTCAGCTGGGATAGACTCCAGCCCCCCATGACCCTGGTGAGGATTAAGCGCTGTATAGCTAATGGATGGATGATTTTCTGTTTCGTGTCTGATAAACACTGGCCCATGGCAGCCAGATTGAGTCACCACACAGCCTGTTGGTGTAATTTAACATGAGTTATATTAAATTATCCAAACTGCATTCACATGCTCCAGCAGTTATTAAGTGTAGGATTTTCTCCAGTATCTATCCACACTGTGACGGCCACAGGCCTTGTCAGTGTGTTTTCCTGCCTCTGCTTTCCTTTTCCCAGTCTGGATGGCCTGCCCCTCCCACTTCATTAAAGGATGGGCTTCACCTGCTTGGTGCCTTTAAAAGCTGGGTGAATCCAAGATGGCGCTCTCTGTCTCCCTCCTGGAAGGCTGGAGCCTTTCAGGTCTCCCTTGGTTTGGTTTTGGTTTGTGGACTTTATCATTAGTTTTTCTTTGTTGAATGTTTGAAATAAACTACTCATTCATTTAAAAAGCTGTTCCTGTGTCGACCTCTCTTCTTTGTTGTGCTCTTCATCGAGCTGGGCATAACAACACTCTGTCCAAAAGGCACAGACATCAGTCCTAAAACTTGTTTACTGCTTTCTCATTGTTCACTGCTGCTTATCTGGATTGATAATAATAGGAAACTCCAGAGTTCGGAAAGGAAAACAAGTGATAAAACACAGACTCTGACCTAATGTGAACTCAAACACAATTTGTTTAAAGATTTTAAATTTCAATGAATTTAAAAAACATGTTTGTTTTGTCTGTCTCTAAGTGTCTTCCTGTGATAGACTGAGTCAGCGATAGGCTCCAGCCCCCCGTGACCCTACTGAGGATTAAGCGGTGTGTAGATAATGGATGTTTTTTTCTTTGTCATCATGTGTACTGAGTTACAGATTAATGGAAAGTAAATCACATCTCATCCATTAAAATAAATCTATAAGTGCTTTCGGAAGCGACTGCGTCTCCTATTGAACTCATACAGAGCGCAGAGCAGTCTGCAGAGGAAGAACACCGAGTGTGTGCTGGATGTGAGGCTGAGACAGAAGGTGGGAACAGACCAAGCAGGAACACAGGTGTCTCCTGGAACACTGTGGTTAGTTGGTTGCTTGTGTGTACAGCATGTGCTCCCTCTGATGCAACAATGAACTGCTGATAGTTTAAAGAAAACTATGCTACCCATTTACAGCAGAAGTTGAGGACCATTTTTCAAACACTTCTCTAAAAGTTTAGGCACAGGGTCTGATAGTTAAACTTCAGAAATGGGCTCCAGCGTTGAAACTCCAATGTTTAGAAAAACATTTCAGTAACACATTCAGCTCATCGACAGCATGCACACACAAAGCAGCTGCTAACTTCTTTTTTTTTTTGAAGATAATTTTTTTGGCTGCTTTGAGCCTTTGTTGCAGCAGAATTGAGAAAAAACAGACCAGCCCACTGGGAAAATTGTCAAACCTCCAAATGCCTGAGAGAGGTTCACTTATCAAAGTCCTTCCTGACTAATAATCATGCAACAGCTTTTAAACACATCAGAATTTGTTTTTGTTTAAATCTTGGTCCTTGAATCTTACAAACCTCAGCTATGCAGCTTTCTCATTGTTAGCGTTTCTCCTGGATGCCGGTCACGTTATTACGCTGACTTTGTGAAATGACCTCGGTGGGTTCCTGCACTGCACATATTTCTGAAACCGTCACAGCTTCATGCGCTCAGGAAGAGATGGTGTCGTTGTGGAAGCAAAGTGAAGGTCCTCACCTCGTAGTATGAGTCCGGAGGCTCGGCAGTGCTGCTGCTGACATCTTCTAGATCAGCAGGTATCCATGGTAACAGACGGCATCGTCTCACCAGTGGGTTTGTCTCTCCGTATGTATAATCACGGGTCACCTCATCTGTAGAAGGAATAAGTTGTCTATCAATAGTGACTGACGTCCTCGTCCTGCTGCTTCCTACTGAGGACATCAACACCTTGTGTCACTATCAGACTGGGTGGGACTACTTTCAGCGGTGGATTAATCTGTATTTGGGGCTCTAATATTTCTGGCAGGAGGACGCGGCGCGGGACTGAAACTAAATAAGCTACAAGGGAACATGTTTGGATTGGACAATAGAAGCCTAACGGTAAGAGAGGATCCTCAGAACTGATGCTGGCACTGCTGCATGAACTGCTGCTCTGTTGGTGTCACTTCTCCTGATATCAGTGAACATCATTACAACATAAGCCAGCTGAGTCGGCCTCCTCATCCTCCAACAACGTCTCTGATTTCCACAACCAACTGGACCTCAACACAACGACGACCGGTAAGGGCAAAGCTTCTTTCTTTTGCCACAACACACGATACGGGACTCTGTGGGTTATAAGCCAGGTCAGTTGGCTGACCATTCAAACACAGTAATACCATGGTCAGCAAACCATTTGATAGTAATTCTGGTCAGAAGATGGAAGCATGAAGTTCTTTAACACCTCCTGGTTGATGCTGCGTTGGCATTAGATTGATAAAACTCAGTGGACCAACACCAGCAGATGACATGACACCAAATATCATCAACTCTTCACTCTGGACTTCACACACCTCAGACTCTGAGCTTCTCCACTCTTCATCCAAAATCCTGGATCTTGATTTCCAAATGAAATGCAAAATGAACATTGATCTGAAAAGAGGACTTTGGACATCTGAAGAACAGTCCAGTTCTTTTTCTCCTCAGCTCAGGTCAGACTCTTCCACCATAGTCTCTGGTTCACGAGTGTCTTGATATTAGGACTGGGACAGCTCTAGCCCACTGCTTCAAAGCACATGTTTTCATATAGTTATTCAGTGTGTGTTGACCTTGATAATCACAGATGGGCAGTGTGGTAAAGTATACTCAAATCCTTTACTCCAGTAAAATTACTCCCACCACACTGTAAAACTCACACAGTGATGTCAGTATAATCAGGAAAGTGCATGATGGTAGCAAAAGTTAAAGCACTCGCTGCAGGAAAATGTCTCCAGGAGTATATTACAGTATTAGATCTTTATTACTCGTGCATGAATATAGAAGCAACATTTTTTGGCTGTACTAACTCTGACCACATGCTGCTCAAACAACTGGAAACGAGAACCGTTAACAACCAGAATCAGAATAAGAAGCATTCAAATACAAACGTACCCAAACGCTGCCTCTCTGATCGCTGTGTGTTTGGGAGTGTGTCTGCTCTCACCTCCTTCCTGCAGGTCCTGCAGGGGCCACAGCACAGTGTAGGGCAGCTGGCCCTGAACGTAGAAGAAGGGAGCCATGCAGCAGCTGGGCTGGTCCGAGTGTTGCACCTGAGAGCCAAACTCATCCATGACGTACCACACTGGAACCTTCTCCTCCGCTGACTGCACATGAAAACACAGGAGGAAGACGGTTACTCCAAGAAGGACAAGCAGATGACTAATACACTAATGCTTTCATCTGACAATGTGGTTTTTCCCCATTTACACGACACCAATCGACCATCAAGAGACTCAGAGCTAATCTGTACTCAGCGTGGACACGATCATGATAGCTCCCCCTTGACCTGTCGTCCTGGCTCCCCTCTTGCCAAATCATCTCATCAAGCAACACTGAGCTCAAAGTTATTTTTTAGTTACCTCAGTTTTGTGTCTATCTCCCATCACTGTGACTACTTGTACATTAACATTCCAACAGTTCTGCCCATATACAGCAGCATGCAAAAGTTCATGAGAACAATTAAGCAAGTAGAAGATAAAATGATTTCCAAAAGGCATAAAGTTAAACATGAAACACTCTTTTTAAGCAATATCAGTGTATTATTTT